AAGGTTTTACCTCTTCATGTATGTTTATGGAACTTGATGCTGCTTTATTCAAAAGTAAATGTCATTTCATTGGTCTTCTGACCTCTTGAAACTTTAACCATCTGTGAAAGTCCAATCAGATAGATTCAACCATTATTTTTTTTTTATGCCGTAGAATGGGTTTCTCTCTTTTGTGCAAGGATTAGAGATGTTATAAGTAATTAACATTGTAAGCTTTATTATAACTGGCTCTTCTATAGACTGATGCAAATGATTTTGCAGGAACTGGCGAAAAGAATATTCCCTATATGTGAATGTTTTCTTCTGATTGACCAATTTGTGGAGTCAAGCTCGCAGTTCAAGAACGGGCTAGTTAACCATGCATTCGCAGCTGCACTCAGGGCACTCCTCCTTGTATGTAATATAGGTTGCTACCTTTGTGGTATTTGTGATGCATGGTTTGTTCAGTTATTTTTCTTTCCCATGCTGTTTCATGTGGGGATTTTGCAAACTGGATATGGATTCCGTAAACTAATTGTCAACTTTGGGGATTTACTCAGTAAACTAAAAACATGAACTTGGAAAGGTCAATTTAGAATGTTTTTTTGTTTATATATTGGCTTCCTTCTTGTCCCCTGAATTGGTGTTTTTATTACATTTCTGAGTGTGCATATATGCATATGTATGAATATCTAAGATGACACGAATAGCTCTTGCGGTCTTCTTTGTTCCAGGTTTTTGCCGTCTTTGTAGTCCCTCTCTCAGTATTGCCTCATTGAAGAAATTGATAGTCTGATTTTTCGCACGTGGAGTTTTGTGTCTAACCCATGTCAATTGCATTGTTTGGATTGAGAGATACTTTTGTTAGCGATGTGGTAATTTGACAATAATTTTTGCTAATGCTAAAAGTATTAACCATCCTTTTTTTACCAGGATTATCAAGCCATGGTGGCGCAATTGGAACATCAATTTCGACTTGGAAGACTTTCTATACAAGGATTATGGTTTTACTGTCAGGTATGTCTTTCTTCAGATAATCCAAGCTACAAGGTCTGTAAAAAGTATGCTGATTGATTGTTTTTCGTATCTCTCAGCCCATGATGGGATCCATGCGCGCATTGGCTGCAGTAATTCAGCAGGCTTCTGCTAAGCATTTTGTGGGTTCTGGTGTGCTTAATCTCCTGCAGAGTCAGGTAGATTCTTGCTTCGGTCATAAAAATACCTTTTGGATGTTTTTTTTGTGTGCTGGAACTAGCTTTCTTATTATGTGTCCTAATCTTGAAGACTGTCATGCCTAGGCTAAAGCGATGGCTGGTGATAATTCAGTGCGGTCATTGTTAGAGAAAATGACCGAGTGTGCAAGCAATGCATACTTGACCATATTGGAAAGGTTGATTTCCTATGCCTCTTTCTTTTTTGGTCGTAACTTGACTCATAGTAGAAAAATTGTTCTATAATCTCTGCCCGTTCCCCTTTGTTATTGTTTGTGGGAATGCTCAGATAATCTAAGTCCAACCTATGGCTATGTTTTTCCTTTTTTGTAAGGAGTGATAAGCGAACATGTTTGTTATCTTTTGTGTTGACAGATCTGTACATAGGTTACTCTATTTGCTAGATAGCTCATACTATTCTCAGATGTTTCAACTGACTTGAATTAGTGTTTAATTAAGGTGGGTCTATGAAGGGATTATTGATGATCCGTATGGGGAATTTTTTATTGCTGAGAACAGGTCTCTTAAAAAGGTACTTCGAATTTTTCTCAGCTCGCCTGCACAATTGTCAATTGTTTGATCTTACAATTTCAAAGTTTTTTATGTACAGGAGAGCCTCAGTCAGGACTCTACGGCTAAATATTGGAGCCAAAGATACAGCCTCAAGGATACTATTCCTGGCTTCCTTGCAAACATTGCCGCAACAATATTGACTACAGGGAAATATCTAAATGTTATGAGAGAGTGTGGGCACAATGTTCAGGTAAGGATTGTCGATGAATTTTTCTTGTCATTATTACAGTCAACGATGATCGTGATATTGGGCATGACATTGGCTTGGTTTTTTTGACAGGTCCCCATCTCAGAGAGATCTAAGCTAACCATATTTGGCTCAAATCATCATTATCTTGAATGCATAAAGGCAGCTCACGAATTTGCCAGTATAGAGCTAGTGAGTCTCATCAAGGATAAGGTAATAAATTGTGTTATGATGACTGCTTTTTTGATGTCATTCCCCGCAAATTCACCTCTCTGACCATCCGTCTATGATTCAGTATGACCTCATTGGAAGGCTTCGATCTATAAAGCACTATCTTCTTCTCGACCAGGTATGCTAGTTCTATTCATGGATAAGCAGCTGTCTTCAGAGATTATCATACTTTTCTACGCACAAATTTACATTTTTGGCTCAACAATGTAATGAACTACAGGGTGATTTCTTGGTTCATTTTATGGACATTGCTCGAGAAGAGCTCAACAAAAAAGTGCATGAAATATCTACTGAAAAGTTGCAGGTACTTTTGCCCCGTCTAGAGCACGAAAAGATTAGACAAAGCTTGCTATCATTATTCAATCGTTCCTATGCTTGCTTTCTGGAATCTGAATATATTTGTATGATTTAGTCTTTGCTAGATCTTGCTCTACGTACTACAGCGGCAGCAGCAGATCCTCGCCACGAGGACTTAACTTGTTGTGTGGTGAGCAGTCAATTTCTCTTTTCCTAGATGTGATCAGTTGCAAAGTCTGTACACAAATTTGTTCTCACTTTTGCATTCATATCTTAGGATCGAGCTTCATTGCTTGCGACTTTGGGAATGCACAAGGATCCTGATAGCAATAGTATAGAAGACCCAGTGAGCATCACTGGTCTAGAGACATTTTCCTTGAGCTACAAGGTCTCTTTCTTTCCTTGTCTGCACCTACCTTCTAACTATTTTTTTTTCATGATATATATTATTAATTCTACAGCCTAAATACCAGCAATGATGTTTATAGATAGCTACTAAGTCGCTTGTAGATTCATCATTCATACTTGTAATTTACAAATGCATATTTGATTGGCTACTTCATTGTTTGATATGTCGATCGTGCTTTTTGTTTCAGGTTCAATGGCCACTTTCTATTGTCATATCAAAGAAAGCCCTGTCAAAGTACCAGTTAATTTTCCGCTTTCTTTTCCATTGCAAACATGTGGAACGCCAACTTTGTGGTGCATGGCAGATACATCAAGTATGTACTAATATTATATTCGTACCTTGGAATTTATTTTGTTTCTTACGATTTTTTTTTAATCTGTTTTCTTGTCTAACAAAGTGCTGTGTAATTCTACAGGGGATTCGGTCTATGAACTCTAACGGTACAGCAATTCGTAGATCATCGCTTCTCTGCCGTAGCATGCTTAAATTCATCAGTAGCCTTCTACATTATCTTACATTCGAGGCAAGTCGTAAACTTTCTCTTTGTTGTGTTTGTTTTAAACTTTTATGTTTCCTAATATAATGGTAATTAGGTTATTTATTTAAAGATATCTCTGAAGTCCGTAAGGATTATACTTATAAATGTAGAAACTTCTTGCAATTGTGAGTTCCGAGATATGCACTCTTGAATTCGTGAGTTATAGATTCTAAAGAACTAAGTAAACTATCAATGAACAATTAAGAGAAATCACACTAGGAATATTTAAAGACATGATTCTTATTCCTTATGAGATCTTTGAATTTTTTTTCCAATGTTGCATTTGCTTGCTTCTATGTGGGATGTCTCTTCAGGTTCTCGAACCAAATTGGCATGTGTTGCACGATAGACTACAATCCACAAGGAGTGTAGATGAGGTAAGTGTAGAGATCTGCTTTGTTATAGTTGTAGGGCAAAACGTGCTTCATTGAACAATGTGCCCATCATCTTACAGGTGATACAGCATCACGACTTTTTTCTTGATAAGTGTCTGAGAGGATGCTTGCTTCTTTTACCTGATGTCCTTAAGGTTTGTCGCTGCTCCTTTTTAATGTTATGATTTCTTAGAATCGATGTAATTATGTGCTTCTCGATCTTGCAATTATAGCAGAAAATTCTGAATGCAGTAATAGTGATGTTTTTCAATATTTACACTAGTCTTTGCTGATGATGCAGAAAATGGAGAAATTGAAATCAGTGTGCCTGCAATATGCTGCAGCCACGCAGTGGCTGATTGCATCGTCTATCGACATCAATAGCCAGTCTCATACGCAGAAAACAATGATAAGAGACGCAACCGTCACAGAGTCCATATTGTAAGTAATAACAATCAACCTGTTTTAAAACTTTATCACTTCTCTTTCATGGCGAATTATGTAGATAATAAAGGCCCCTTCAATCAACCTCTCTACAAAAGCAGCTGGTGCTAGAATTTTGGAACTTCATATTACAGTATTATTCTAAAATGTCTGTTTGCAATTTACCAGCAATTTTGAGAGGGAATTCAACTCAGAGTTGCAGAGCTTAGGACCAGTGTTGAGCAAAGGCTCTCAGGCTGAGCCATACTTGACTCATCTCTCTCAGTGGATCCTTGGTGTGTCGAAAGAATGAGAGTGAGACATTTCTAAACAAACTCAGGCAATTCATTATTTTTTAGTGTTTATCAAACGATATTCAGCTTGAAGTTGGTATGGCTCAATTTGGATGTGTGAGTGTGTTTAGCCTTTCGCTGTTGTTTCTTTATTTTATTTCTGTTTTTGTGAATTCCCACGTTTTAAAAAAAAAAAGAAAGATTCATCTCTAAGGCTCTCTCTTTTAAAGCTTGCATTCAAGTTCTGTTTCCCAGCAACTAAAGTACATTCTTTGAGGAATTATCTTGAATCTTTTACGCTCTAGCTCAAAAGTATTTTTGATCGAGGTTCCTTTGACAATGCAATAATCTCTTCACCATAAATCCATTGGGTTTGCTGTTTAATATACTATAAACAAAATCCAATTATGCAACCCAAAAAGAGAAGTGAAAACACTCTGGACAAAATACAGAAAAGTTTCAGAACAAAAGAAAAAGCTTTTGTTTCAGCAGTTGATGCCACACATGGATGTGTCAGGTCCTTTGGTCTTGAGCACAAAAGGATCAATTCTGACCCAAAGCAAAGAGAAGATAGATGCCAACAACACTGACCAAATCACCACAATGGTTGGTGTTCTGTTCTGTCTTCCCATCAGACCTTTGAGGAATGGGTAGAGATGAACAATGACCCAAAAGGAGAAGAAGAGTTTACCAAATAGAGGTCCCCAAGACTGATATCCATTGTTAATAGCATCTGAGATGCCTGCAACGACGCCGACAATGTTTATGATCAAGACAGTTGTTGGAGGGATAAGCAGTGTTGTCCATTTGAATGCGTAAAGTTCTCCAAAGTCATCGTCATCTGTTGCCTTCGATGTGACTGTAAAGTTTGTGTCAATGCCTGCTAAGATTTTGAGAAGACCTTGGACAACCGCAAAGAGATGAGCTGAGATTCCTCCAATGACCCAGAATTGCTCGTTTCTCCACCATTCTTCAATGCTCACTCCGCTCCATCTCAATTCCAAAATTCCCGTTGCAATGATCGACATGAACAATGCGATGAAGAAGAGACTAGCAAATGTGCTTATCTGAAAGAAATTTTTTAAGAGAAAAAGATTGTTAGGAAAGTTAATGCAGCTTTTAAAACGCATTTATCTGATGGTTTACTAACCGGTGGCATGATAAATTTGTCGGTAAGGAGACAGATGGCAGGAAGGATACAGTAGGCAAGAAGTGGAATAGATGTGAACGGGTAGATTGTTGTGTTGGCGTAAGCGAAACGCTCTAGCCACTTAAGTTTGCCTCCTTTGTAGCCGTACCAGAGAGGGCTGTGTCGACTGAAAAAGATTTCAACAGACCCGAGTGCCCAACGCAAAACCTGGTTTAACCTGTCTGATAGGTTAATAGGAGCTGAACCTTTGAATGCAGCTCGTTTAGGCATGCAGTAAATAGACCTCCAGCCACGGCAATGCATCTTGAAACCCGTCAGAATATCCTCAGTAATAGAGCCATAGATCCAACCCAGCTGCAGTTTCAGGGAAACACAAAATTTTGTCACAATGGCCAGCTTCTAAATCACAAATTAGAAGGTGCCACCTTACGGTTCGAGATTATTACCTCAGTTCCCCACTCAGTCTTGTCTTCATAACCGCAGCTTATAACATGGATTGCCTCCTTAAGGAGCACTGCAGGACTTGATGACGGAGGAACACCACCATCTTCCATCAAAGTCGAGGTCACAAAGATGGATGATTGCCCAAACTTTTTCTCAAAGTTCATTTCAGACATCAAATGCTCCTTATCACCATCTGCTCCTGCCAAATAAAAACTATCAGATCTGAAATATTCCCACATAAACTAAATCTACTACAAAATTTGGACTGATTTTAAGATTATTGGAATAGTTACCTCCAAGGGCTGCTATTTCGCCATTCGACTCATGCTTGGAAAATTTCTTATTCTTTCTCCGGCGCCCGAAACAAGGACAACAACCACAGCTAATCATCTTGGGACGTTTAGGACCCTTTGGCGGTTCATAACCATACAGAGCTTGTCTTTTGAAAACACAACCAGTACCAACGTAAACTGGACCTTGGATTCCATCTAGACCTTTCATATTGATCTGTACCAAACACAAGAAGGTAAGAAAGATGGTTTATTTATTTCATACACCATAAGTGAAAGAAATGTGGATTGCGTCTTACATCAAAGAAGACTGTGTTTCTGTTGGCGTAACGATCGTGCCTGTCTATACCGTCGAACCTTTGAGGGAACTGAACATAGCAGACCTTTTTTCCAATCTGAGGATCCATCAAAAAGCACATTGCTTCCCTCACGGCCTTGCTGTTGTTCACATAGTGATCACAGTCCAAGTTCAGCATAAAAGGAGCATTTGTGAGTACACCTGCTACTCGAACCTGACGGAAGTGTTGAAAAGAAAACGAAAGTTGTGTTATGTTAGGCCCAGGATTCAGAGATAAATTTCTTGTTTTGTCCAAGGCAGATTAAAAAAATGTACCAGAGCGTTCATGGCACCAGCTTTCTTGTGGTGCTGAAAACCAGGCCGCTTCTCACGGGACACGTATACAAGTCGAGGGAGCTCGTGGCCTTCGACATCAAATCCTCCGCTGTGGCCGAGGAAGACTTGGATCATACCGGGATGATCCTTAGTGTTGTTCCCTGGCCATGGCGTTCCATCTGGCATGATCCAACCTTCTAGAGGAACCTTTGAAGCTTTCGCCACGAGGGCATTGATCCTGACCTTGAACTCCTCATACTCTCTCTGCCAGAAATCAATTTACCTTATGGAGTTTAGATTACAGTGAAAACCTGAGTGCTGATATAGCTAGATCTCAAGTGATATACACTGACCTTCATGGCTCGGCGTTCCTTAACGAACGTTGGCTGGACTTTGTCCTTGAGATAATCAATTTTCAACGTGAAGTACATCTCCGGTGCCCGTGGCTCTATGGAGAATTTCTTACAGAAGGGAACCCATTTTCTTGCAAACTCAGCAGTTTCCGAGAGAGAATCGAAGGTGAGCATTGAAGCCCCATCGTCAGAGACGTAGCAGGAGATTTTCTCAACTGGATAATCCATGGCCAAGATTGACAGCACAGTGTTGGCTGTGACGAGGGGAGGCTCCTTCATCGGGTCCACAGTACTGACAAAGACATCAACTGGGGCAAGCATATTTGGTTCACCTTCTCTCTCGTATCTGTATAAACAACAAATATTTATATCCAACCTCCAACTTCATAGATATTAAGGCTTCTACTTGAAGGTATGTGGATTTTACCTGAGGGAGAGCCGATCTAGATAGGTCTCACGATCAATGGGGAACCACTTGGGAAACTGATCAAGAATCCAAGAGACTGCGAACCAGATTTCACAGATGACAGAAGTCAGCCATAACCCCAGAGCATCGTGCACGGGGTTCAAGAGCCTATATCGTAGAAAAACAGCTAGAATCACAAGCCTCGCAACGATGACCATCCGATATGGATTGATCTTGCTTGATGCAATAGGCACTTTCCGAGAGAGTGGCTGCCGCGCCTCGTCGATCCTGCAGCCATTACAAACAAAATCCAAAAGATTGTAAGCAAGAATCCGAATCACATAAAACTGATGTATAAGACAAATGTTTGTGTAGGCATTACATTCCCATCTCAGGATCGTCATCTGGTTCTTGCCCAAGATTTCCTTGCTGGAGCTTCCAGTCATCCATTCTTTCCCGCCATCCTCCCTCCTTCTTGTCATCCCATCTCTCACTCCCTACCAAAAGAAAAAGAAAAGCGTTGTTAGAAACCTCTACTTCAGTTGCTGAAAGAAGCAGCTCGTTCTCCAACAAGGCTCTGGTGACAAATTTCAAATAACAATGTAAGAGCCAAAAGTCCTTGTTTATAAAACTATGTCTATATCTAAGTTCATTCCTGACTTTATGAATGTCGAAGTTTCTGCTTAACAAAAACATTGTGTCTTCTGCTACTACAAGTTACAAAGGACGATGAGCAGAGAGACTCACCAGCTTCAGATGATGGATATGGGTGCACACGCTTATGAAGCGAAGAAGGCATCCCATGTTCTCCATTCCCATACCCTCCTCCAACTGGAAACTCTCCACTTACCTGCAGAAAGCCAAAAGAAATTACAAAAAATTGATCGCATATCGTATACGAGAAAGATTCCTCATTTAAAGCATTTTGATTTGTTACATGTCTACTATGGCCACCAGCTATAACAGGTGGGAATCTCCCGTTCTCATCATCCTCAGGGCCTCTTCCATAGCTCATTTTCCCATAAGCCATAGCCTCAGCAGATTGCTTCTGCTTTTCATGTTCGTCTTCGATGTTAAACTCGTACTCGATATCATCAATATCCTCTTCATCCTCATCTCCCTCCACTCTTGGGCTTCCTTCAAAAACGAAAACAAAGAGATGTCATTCTTCGAGTGAATTGATTTAAAAATAAAAATAAAAAGACAAGCTTTTTGCTTCATTCAGGCATTTCGTCGAACAAGATAAGAGCGGAGATTAATACCTCTAAGACGCTTGTAACGAGTCTTGCACTGAGGACAGTTCTGTGTCCCTTCTCTTCTCTCGTACTCGTAGCAAGGCCTACACGCCGGAAAACCACACTCATTACAAGCTACGAACAGGTCTCCGTCAACTGTTAAACCAATCTGATCTCCGCATATCTCACAAAATTGTCCATCCAGATTCTTCAGAGGCTTCGGCTGTAATAATCAAACCCAGAAAAATGTTCGGTTCCATGAATACTCTTTTTGAGTTTTGATCCATTGTTTCAAAGAATCGACCCAGAAATTGAATTTTTAAAACAATCGTTAACAAAAATCAGTTTTGCCTCCAATTATTAGAACGTTTCACAAAATGCTACATACATTTCGGGTTCTATGTTTTTTTTTAAAAAAAAAATAATAATAATAATAATAATTATCGTGTAAACCTGATTTTAATATTGTAAAGATTGTAGTGGTTAATTCATCTTGACTAACTCAAATCAAAACAAACAAACATGATAATAATAATAACCAAATAGCAAACAATTGAATCCAATGATTCTATAACTTTAGCCTTGGTGAATCTCATGATATCAATATTTTTTAAACATTTTAGTTCCTACTTAAGAATGGGCTTAATTAGTTTAATGATTTATCAGTTAAGTACCTCTTCGTGGTTGTGAATGACAACAAGTTCGTTACGGTTATGAGAACCGGCGACAAGACCGGCGCTGGCTTCCATAACGGTGGCCGGAGATTAGCAGTGGTCGACGTCGTCGTCGATAGAGAGAGAGAGAGAACAAATCGAAGAGATATTCAAAGTAAGACGACGAAGCAATAGGTTTATATCAATGAAGAAGATCATGAAACATCCGTTTAGTTTCTCTCTCTGTATGGTACATAATTTGTTGCAGAGTCTCCATTGCCTTCAAGCTAAGCTTTCGTTTTTTATATTAGTTTTTTTTTTTAATAAAAAAATCGTATTATTTTAATTAAATAGTTTTCATGCAACAAATTCAATCGCATACAACAGCTAGCTGATATGTCTTCCTTTCATCGTCGCGGTTTCCACAAGCTAATTCACTACTTTGCCTGTCTCTCTCATTTGACTGTCCTAATCTCTTTCCCACTTACTTAACATTATTTCTGTTGATTTGATTATTATGTAAAATTCATTTATGTTTATTCTATTTTTAGATTCATATTTAAAAAAAAAAAAAAAAAAAAAAAATCTAAGGGTCAGAAAAAATAATTTGGTATCTAATAAAGAGAGATCGGCTAAACATACTACTGTATTAATTTTTATTCAAATTAAAGAAAAATAAATAGTTGAAGGGTTTAATGAGATGGAGTGCAAGCCAAGTTACGTCCCCTGTCCATTAGGTGAGGTTTCTGCATACATATGATAAGCTAAAGAGCTCTCAACAACAACAACAGAGAAACTAATCATAAATTTCAATTATTCAGATAATATTCCTAAAAGTTGTGAAGAAACAGAGGTTTCAAGACGACACCGATAGAGTAAGGAGAAGAAGATTACAGTGCAGGGGTTACGGGCCTCGTAGTCTATGGAGAAGCTGAGCTGAGAAGGGGCACTAACCCTACGGGTCTCGTCGTCCATGGATGAATTTGAGAGAAGAGGCACTAACCCTAATAGAGATATTTGGGAATTAGGAACAATTAAGGATAACTGTTAACATAAATTATTCGAAGGAGTTTGATCCTAATTGACCACTAATTAAACTCAAATTGGAATTCAAACGGTACCTAAGTAAACATCGATTGGTCTGGTAAAAAACAAACTCTTTTTATTGATTTACCAAGAACAAGTACAATCTGAAGTCACGAATGAACTAAAAAATCATGAGACATCAAATATGATTTTGTGATTTACCAAGGCTTCTTCATCCTTTTTTTGTCCATCAATTCGGTTTCCACGCCAATTTTCCTCTATCTCTCAATGTGTTCACTTTGCAATTTTGTATAGTCCAGTTAGGCCTGGCAATGTAAGAATCTAAACGGTCTGGGCCTTGACCATCCCTCAGTTATAGTCACTTTGCATAATCCACATCAAGCTCAGCGTTTGAAAAATAAAATAAAGGCTTTTTATGTTATGAATGAACTTATGATTATGTAACAAGGCATAAACATTGAAAATATAAATACATTATCCTTTTATCATTTTATGGATTACCATAATAATATTAGCATAATTTGGGAGTTTAATCACGTCAAACTGATACAAAATTAAAAATTTCACTGTGTGTTCATCTATGGACGTCATTGCTTCGCTTTATCCCGGCTTCTTGCGCTGATGTAGCGGATAACTCAAACCAGAAAAAGGGTCAGAAGGATAATCAGTTGGATACTATTTGGAATGAAATTAGGGCACTACCTGGAATCATATTGGAGCGCTGATGATGAATTTATAACCAACATTTAAAACTAGAATAAGATAACAAAAAAAATGTATTATACTGTACGTTTGGAAGAAAACAAAAAATATCAAATCGGAAAGTAACAACTTTTTTTTTTTTATTGTAGTAGTAGTACGGTACTACTCACATTCTGAATTTATGAACTTTCTATAATGGGCTAGACTAATAAAAGACAATATCCTTAATCTGAAAAGATTATCCAAATAATCGGAAATATTAAGCTAAGTCATAACTCATAATTAAGAAACTTACCCAAAAAATGGGGGAAAAAAAAAACAGAATCAAACTGTTCACAACACACAAAGCAAGCAACTAAAGATCCTCCAAAAAAAAAGTCTTAAGTGTCATTCCAAACTGTAAACGTTGAAGCCCCTTCTCCACCACCTTCTCCATTAAAGAACATATTAGAGCCAACATTATTCGAAATCGCCACAGGAAAATCTCCTTCCGGCGACTGCTGCTGAATCTGCTGCTGTTGCTGAGCAAAATAATAATGGTTTCTTGCGTTGTAAGCAATCTCAGCAGCAACGTAGGCATCACAATTAACCGGGATTGCAAATCCTTGATGATAACCACCATAACCAATATTGGAATTTCCACAAACAGTAACCGAATCATCCGAAGCAGGACTATGATGATCGATTTGAGTCATGAGGCTGATCGGCGAGTTGCTCAAGAGATGTTGTTGATCCTCCTCTTGTTTGAAACAAGCCCTAGCATTCTCCGAAGACAAGTTTCCTCCATTGTAATAACCATTGTACCTCTCTTGATGTTGCTGCAATAAGCTCAAATCCATTCCCTGATGATGCTGAAGCGCAGCGTTTTGCCAATAGCTAGAGACTTTTTCACTCTCTAAAAGGTTACTACTGACCATCATACTTGGAACCGGATTATTGACGTCCCTGAGACGTTTTGCGGCGCTACCGATAGGAAGACTCGGGCTATCGAGGATTGCTTTAACGTTGTATCTGTTCATGTCGAAGTTAGTCACTGCGCTTAATCCTCTGAATTTAATGGCTGCAATGTCGTATGCCTCTGCAGCCTCTTCTTGTGTGCCTTCATATAAAATATGTACAATTTACTTAGATATATAAATATGATAGTGTATTGTTAATTATATAGATGTAATTGTGAAGTAAGAGAATATTAAGTTTACCAAAAGTTCCTAAGTAGAGGTCTTTGTTACCGGCAACTCTTCCGATCCTAGCTTGCCATCTTCCATGTTGATGATGCCTTTTGGAACCATTAGAAGAAAATTACATTATATAAAAAGTTGTATTTTGTATACATAGAACAAAAAAGGATTGAAACATTGTATTCGTTCTCTATAGATTTGGATTACCTTGTTACCCCTCGATAAATCGATGCACCACGAGAGAAACCACTGCTTTTCCTGCATATTTAAATGCGTAGAAAGATTATTTATGTGAGTTACGAGATCTTAAAAAGATATGCGTGATGGGTTTCTATAATATATTACAGTTTTATAATATGCAATAAGCTCAACAGTTCATTATATACCTGCGCAGAGAGGCAACGTACTCTTGCCTCGTCATGTGCTTCATCTCTTCTACCTCTTTCTCATAATCACACATCTGCATATTATATCACACCAACATTACTAATTTATTATAATAAATGTAACGATAAAACATGACAGTTATTTGATATAGTTAAATATATATATATATATGTACACAAGTATTCATCAAAAAATAATTATATATGATTTTTTGCATTATTGATTAAATTAACTTACAGGGAAGTTAGTAGTGGTGGTGGTTCCCCAATACTTAAGTGCGGCTAAATCGTAAGCCCTAGCTGCTTTTTCTTCTTTGTCATAACCTCCTGCGTGTTCAGATAACAAATTAATTCTATTTTTAGATTCGATTACTAGTCATATATTTCTTTATGTGGTTAAAATCAAGTTCTTACCTAAATAAACTGAGAAGATAACCACCAAGTGCAAATTTTCAAACACATAAAAAAAACTACATTAGTTCGAAAATATAAATAAATGGAAAAGTATCAAATTACCATATAAGTTTTGAAAAATATACCTTGTCTTCCTTTGCGAGTTTGGCCTTCTCTTTTGCAACTATTATCCCATAAATGTGCCTCGTATCTTCCTGTCCACCGATGCCTACACATTTAATACAGACATAGATGATCAAGAATCATATAGGTATGATTCTATATAATATTTCTAATAAGCCCATTCACACTTAAGTCTCAATAATAGAATATCAAGGAACATTCCGTTGCACTCTCTCAAACGAACCATTAGAATGTCCCAAACTTTACCAATAAAATCACCATTCGAGAGACATTTTAGACGAAAAAAGCTGTATATTAATGGAGGGAACCTTGTAACACCGCGGTATATAGACGTCCTTTGTCCAAAACTCTCAATAGATTTTTTGGGTGTGGCTTCTACAACATCAACAACGGTCTTCTCTTGGACAACGACCTCATTATTGGTGTAGTTATTGCCATCACAAGTAGTAGATGAGTTCATAGAGAGGGACAAGCCTCTTGCACCATTACCATTGTCTTGATGCTCAACATTAGCCACCGGATTATTCCTCAGCCATGTCTTTATCATCGACATGCCTAGTGAGCCACCACCACCACCGTCTCCTCCTCCACAACCACCACTTCCATCTCCACCATTGTCATTGGTATTGTAAATCTTGGTGGTACGGCCAAGGAAATTCTCAAGCTTTGGTCCATTTTGGTCATTACTGTGGATGTTATTGCATGCAGCACCATTGTTGTCCCAATCTATATAGAGAAAAAAAGCCGTAATTAATCATGGTTTCTTAAAATTTGATATCATCACCGTTCTATAATATACGAAATGGTTTTTTCATTATAAGGTCAAGAGGTTTTGAAGTTTATGTATGATTGGTTAACTAAAAATGTAAAGATATGTACGATTATATCACGATCCTGGATATGGAATAGTGGATAAAACTAATTGCATAACTGTATATATAATTGACAATATTTCAATTCAAGAACAAAACAGTAAACCCACTCATAGAAAATTTCAAAAGAGATGAAATCGATAAATAAGCCAAAAAAAAAAAACAAAAATAAGGCTACGTGCGTGCGTGAGTCTTGGTCTTTGTTCTATGCATTGGAAGAAGGGGAAAGATTACAAAAAACAAATAAAATAAATAAATCTAAAACAATAACCTCGGGAGTGACTATTGTTGTCTCTGGTGAAGGCATCGAGGACGACACCAAAGGGAGAAGAAAACGATGTTTGAACGGCTGAAGACTCATCGGAAGCAGTGGCCAGATCGTAGCAGTATTCTCCGACGACATCTACGGCGGTTGTGGTGGTGGATGAGTCCACGTCGGCACGGTGGTGATTTTGATCATAAGGAGAGAGAGAGAAACCTAGCCAGTTATTATTCATCGAATTCGCAGAAAAATTTAGTAAGTACTTGTGAGAGGTATAAAAGAAGAAGAATATGAAGAAGAACTTAGTTAGGGTTCATGCATGAAGAGGAGGAGAAATAGGCTTTGGTCTTAATGAAGAGAGAAGAAGAAGAAGAAAAGTCAAAAACATAATGTTTCATTTCTTCCGAGGCGACATATTATGCGCATTTATATAAAAGAATTTTGTAATTTAATTTAAAAGGGAAGAAAGAAAGTTATTTACTTGAAAAATGTGGAGATGTATTGGTCGGTTTGAGAGGTAGGGGTGGTAATGTAATTCAATGAATACTCTATTAATTCCAGTTTAGTTTAATGACATTTTAATTAGTCAGTCAAAAACCCATTCAAACCTCCACTTCTCTTCTCTGTCTCTTTCTTCATGCTTATGAAAAAGTTTAGGGTAAACTGTAAAGGACAAAGAAAAAAGAGTAACATGAGGACCAATAGTGAAATCCAAAAACTCAGCCGCTGTCTATTTGAGACCAATGATGTCTGTTAGAGACATGTGTATCTGTGAATCTATGACACGAGTAACAGCGTTAGCGTTTTCTTTCAAACGCGAAGTCGTCATTTTAGTATTTTTCGTTTTAGCACATTTTTGTTGTTGCTATTTTGTACTAGCTATTTGAAAATGATTATAAGAACAAACTTAAATATTTAACAAAACAAGCATAATTACATAAAATGTGGATGACTATAGTAGCGATACTAGAGATGTAAATCCTAAGCAATAGTAGTAAAGTAGTCAAGCTTATCCGATTAGTATGGAATTAAGAAATGATGTAGGGGAATTAGAGTAATTAGGGAGGAACAATATAGGGATACACTTGGATCAATGAGACGATAGCGAGCATGTGCATGGGTTTGTATAATCTTTGAAATATTTAATACAATTATAAAAAATTGAACTTTCTTTCGTAAGATACGATTCAATGGATTCTCTTCTCTATTTAATTATAATTTACTTTCACTTCCTCCATTATTATGCTTGCAATATCTAACACACCACAACACACGTTCTAGAATAGCCTCGTACATACAAAATCATATTTTTCCTATCAGTTTTTGTTCATATTTGTTAATTTTATAACCCGAAACCTTCGCACCCAATTATTTCAGTACCTCAGATCCTACAAATCATATTACTTTTTCCTATCAATTTTTTTGTTCATATCTGTTAATGTTATAACCCCGAAAGGCCGAAACCTTGGCATCCAATTATTTCAGTACCTCAAACCAATTAGTAGATCTATTATAGAAGGAAGTCTACACTCTCGATATAACAGTTCAAATAATCTGATATCTACCAAAGAAAGTTTATTCACGTACTTTATGTTTTGATCCACTCTGAGAAAGAAAAAAAAAACTTTGTTTGTAAACATATTAAGATAAAATTTCGCCGCATGTAGTGCTAAAAATGAAAAATATGTGAGGTTTAGACTACTCTGATTCAAGGTTTTGTGTAACAAACATTAATACTAGTCAAAACTCAAAATTAACCAAACGAAGGTATCAACTACTATCATATTGTGTTTATTGTAAACTACAAAATTAGGGTTTTTCTGGGTAATTTATTGAAGTGGGAAACACCTGTAGCATCTGGAAATAAAAAGAAACACCTGTAGATGAAGATATCTACAACTGACAAGAGCGTGTGACAAAAAAAAATTAGAAACTACAAAATCCGGAAGTAAGTAAAAAACGAGAAAAAATGGTAAAACAAAAAACAAAAGGAAAAGAAAAAGAAAATATTAATAAATCAGATGGATGATTATCTGAGATATTTGTCAGTATAAATGCTACTGCTACTGCTCTACCATTCCCCCACCCAATACCTTTTACTTTGCCCATTCATTGTTCATTTGCATGCACATTTTACTCATATATATCAATGTAATATATACATACACATTAGCTAGTATGGACCAAAATATATAAGTATATATAGATACACACATACACATTAGTATATAACATTAATGCAGGAAATAACTTCTTTGAGGTTGATCTGGACACTGGATTGCTGGACAATCCTATGTAACATGTTCTTATACAGAAGTTTTTTTTAATTCTTCGACACAATCTAGACTTCCGTTTAGGTGCCAATTAATTAATTACTATTTGTTTTTTTGTACATAGACAGACGCCTAGGTCAATTTGCTCGGTCATTAAAATCACCGATACCTATTTAGACTAGTTAATCAAAAGAGTTCTCGACTTCTTGTTAACTAATTTCTTTTAAAGGATTTTGTAAAATATCCTTCTTAGCAATAATCCAATAGTTAGATGTCAGTTTTTAGAATCACATATTTGATTCTATCTGTTTTTTTAATACTTAAGTCACAATCCAAATATAAGATTTTAATTAGAATAACAATAAGTAAACCTTCGAGACTAAAAATTGGGTTAGATCACAACTCTGATTTAATGGTACTGTGAAACCACATATATAACATAAAACAAAACATATGTTGAATGGCAACAAACGGAGCAAATTTGATTAGTCAAAATACTTGTTTCATTAAGAAAAAATTAAAAGAGAGAGAAAAGAGGCTAGTAAGAGAAGTTAACGAATTGCGAAACCATTTCCAACCCATTGGTTCCACTTATGACCAATCAAATTAAGTTTTAAGCATTCATCTACAACTTAGTGTGAACTCTTTTCATGTTACTTTTTTCTTGTTAGTGAAATAAATATAGATTTATGATATCTACGGTATATATTTTTTTAATGTAATGACGAATGTGGAAATGATGAGGGTCTGCAAGAGTCTGCCTTGAGTACGAAAACCCATAACATTGTCACATTGCAATTGCATAGATCAGCCAGTGTCATTGTCATATCGTTTTATCTATATTTATGCTCTCTATTATTCCATTATATTTTCAGAGGACAAATAAATCAACAAATTCGCTTTTTCATTGATTATGAATGAAAAGCTTTTGGTTCCCTCCCCCCGGTTAAAGCGGGCGAGTTCTTGCATGACTGACATCTCATTTTCTTTTCCATAACTTTTTCTTTTCATATCTGATTTATTATTTCTTGGAAAAGAAAATATCTTCTTATTCGTTCAGAATTTTTATAATCGATCGACCGAATGTTAAAATTGGCGTGCGCATACACACGGTCCCATGATTGAATTGCAAAATCATGATTTGGAGCCGAAAAAAAAAACGTAACCGAAAAATATATACTACATTTTTTTCAGACATTGAACTTTTTATGGTGGAGCATAACAGTAAATATTAACTTCTTACTTTGGCATTCTTTTAATAATCTAACAAAATTTGGTTTTTGGAGGAGTTCTCGCTTGGGACAACTAATATAGCTCAGAACTCACAGTTGAAATCCATTTTTAGTCTTACTCAATCTTGGCCTCTACTTAAGGATTTAAACTAAAACTAATTCAAAAGGCAATAATCAATTTTGAGCATAGATAGACACACAAATATTTCGTAAACGCACACCTTGTCAATAAAGCACGTAGTATAAATGATTAGTGAAAAAATCAAAAAAACTTAATCACTCTGTCCACAGAGAGGCCTTTAACAATCCATCCCAGCTCAGCCGCTAGCTGCAGCACTACCTCTGCCAGATCCTCGTACTCAAGAGACAATGAGAAATTATAGAAAGCGGAAGAGTTTTGTAAAGGGCTAAAGCTCTAATTTGTAGCTCTTTCGCCATATATATGTGGTGATATATACTATAGGATCCCTTATACTATATATACGTCTTTTAAGTGACCATTGCAGTGCTTGGTTCAATATTGTGGCCTCTGCATTTCTTTTTTTTCTTTTTTTCTTATGATCTATTTTACATTCCAACTTTTTTCGCCAACATGGGAGTGAGTTTCTCGTTGTCTGATCTAGAATATACACCTATATACTTGGCCTATTTATTGATCATTATGAATGTACAAAACTGAGCTTAGGAAATATCTGTGATTTTCAATGTGAAGCCAGTATGTAGTTATATACCTACATAAAGAACGTTTGAACTTTTAAATGTTGTAAACAGCCACTGTACAGTTACGTTATACAACATGTTATTTCGGGCGAACAAGAAAAAATGCATTGCTTCCATGACTGTATTATTCCGTATAGCGGAAAGGTACGATAGAGCCTGGAGAAGAACCTGTCTCAAAATTTCCCAACACTGGATTGTTGGACCAGACAGTCGATCTTTTTTTTCTTTTCTTTCTTGGTGCTATGACCAGACAATAGATCTTCTTTCTAGTAATTGACGATTTGAGCACTATAAATTATCTTTTTCTAAAATCATGTCTTAAAAGATGACTTTCCTATTGCTGGTCTTCAATTTATAATGGGAAATGAAATCCTATTTTATTATGCTATCCCTTTAGTATAATTTAATTACTTAACCCCGACGGCCTTGTATTTTTTTTTCAAATTTTTAAAATAATTTTTATTTTGAGAATGATATTTATTGTAAGATTCTTTCTACTTGTCGAGATCTCTATTTAACAAGCGTACATGAACACTATTTATTGTACTAAAATGGTTACCAAGAAGGAAAAAAATCTTTGACCGTAATTATCATGATTTGGCAACAACAAATATAGAATCATTTCATACATGCAAATATACATATATATATATATATATGTATATATATTATACGCTAATTGTCATATCAAATTTTCTAAACATTAATTTCTGCAGTCAAATTTTGCATTTAATCTGACATTCTGAATAATATTAATATGTTATTTCTATCATAATATTAACTGTTAATGATATTGACTAAATTAATGTGATAATAGAGTTTATGCTCGTCAAATATAGATTCCCATAAGTGTTTTCTAATTTTGACTACTAGTTAAATTTATTTATGTTGACCCAAAAACTAATGCTCTAGCATACATGCGGACCATACTCAAAGTTTTACTATTAAATTTGAACTATTAACTTTTAAATTTAAAATTTTATAATTTCTGGTTAAGTTCATAGCCTGAAAGAAAATAAAAAAATTGAGATAATATATATATTTTCGAGAAAAGTTGCCAATTATATATATATATATATATAACATTCAATTTTCTTACTTCCTTCAAAAATACTATTCTGATTCATCTTAAATTTTCATTGAAAATTGATTGCAGTTCAATAATGTTAGCTGTATAAGACCACTAAACATACCAATATCACTAGATTATCAATAGATTATAGTTTTTGCTAAATTTAAATACTGTACTTTTTCTTTATTTTTTGTTTTATTTTTGTATAGATTGATATTATACAAGTGAAGCCAATTAAGAATGATATTTTGGGTGAAGTGGCAGAAGGAGAAATGAGAGAATCTATCTTTATCGATAGAATTCAAATTTTAATAAATAGCAATAGATTTTAGTTTTTGCTAAACCCAAATACTGTACATATAATTTATGTTTAGATGTTAAAGAGGAGAAAATAAAAGTGAGAAAATCTAATTAGATATATATATAGATACCATACATGCAAATATACGCATATATGCTAATATTGACCAAAAAATTAACAGATGGATATGCCAATAATTTTATTACCTAAAACAGAATGTTATTAACAAAAATAGAAAATTTATTCACGGTCAAAGATAAAGTTACTTGGTTGAAAATTGAGACTTCTCTCGATCTCGACATAAGAGTCTCCCTATAAATAAAGCTTCGCAGAAATGTTTCTACGAAATTATAGACTTCTTCTTTTTTTCACAGCAAAATTAACAGTAAGAAAGAAGATAATGAATATTACAAAAGCTTTTGTGGTTCTCTTTCTTGTTGTGGTACTAGCAACGCCGTTGTCCAATTCCAACGTTTTGGCCTCATCGGGTATGTTGTTATTTGTCATCTATCTTTGATCAGTTTAAGAGTAATTTATCAATAATTTCTTTATAGAAAAAAAAATAGTAAAAACCGATTTATATGTAAATATGTGCATAGATATATATATTTATTTTTATTTAACGTGGTTGTATTTGATGCAGTAGTCAAGCCTGCCTTCTTAGGGGGATATGATTATTGCATTATGGACTGTACAGCAGGGGGTCTTGAAGATGGGTGCAAATATGAGTGTAAAAGAAGAAACTATACCGATGGAAGTTGTCTTGGTTATGCACAAGATTTAAAATGTTGTTGCAAAAAATGATAGAAATCAATTATATTTCTAGTAAAGTGGCGATTTGAGGGTTTAAGTTAATATTTTTCAATGAAATAAAACCAATCTTACCTTACTATCCCTTTTTTTTTATTTGCTTCGATAGATTCTATTACACTAAATAGTAAATTCTTCACACAAAAAAGAAGAGAATAAAATAGCCAACGAGGTAAAAGCCCAACTAAATCTAAACCTTGTTCAAACGAAGAAGGAAAATGGATCTACAAAATACTTTCCATGGTGATACCATTTCCTGCATTTTTTTTTTTGTTTCATTAAAGTGATGAATTTATTCGTACATCAAACAAACATCTCGGTCATATTCCTTCACATACAGAATGATTACAAAACTGCAAAAAAAAAAAAATTCTATGATGATAAGTGAAGAGCCCAAACTTGGAATTCCGATCCATTCGAGTGGCTCCCGAGCCGGGTCTAACCCGGACAATCAAAGGAGGCGAAGATGAACGTTGTTGGGCTTCATTAGTGTAATCGATGGCGCTTTTTCTAAAATATCGACTTATTTGTAAAGTTCTACTAATTCGCAAAAAACTCCGATACTTTTTAATCGTACTAATAAGCCCTAATGTTAGCTGGTAAGAAAACTTAAAATTATTTTAATTTTAGGGGCCCATAATTTGAGACAGAACCCTAATGATTAAAAAAAAATCTTGTATACCAGAAACAACAAATCAAAACCCAATCTCTCTGTTCGCAGGGAGGATCGATTCGTGCTTCCGAGAATCATATTGTGAGAGAGAGAGAGAGAGAGATAACGAAGATGGACGCCATGAGGAAGCAGCTCGATGTGCTCATGGGAGCGAACCGAAACGGCGACGTGACGGAGGTGAATCGCAAATACTACGACCGCGATGTTTGTCGTCTCTACCTATCTGGTCTCTGCCCTCACGAGCTTTTTCAATTGACGGTGCGTATAAATATCTTCGATGCCCATGTTTTCTCTTTCTTCTTCAGCTTATGGCTTATCAATTAGTATCTTCAAAAGCCCTAATTTCCTCATCCCTGGTGACAATTAGAGAGAGCTTTGATACATGAACTTCTTTGATAATAAATATTTCTTTGCCTGCCTAAGCTCTAGAGACTTACTATTGGTATATGTTAGTTGATACGTTTTGATGTTCTTAACAACAACAACAAAAGGAAGAACTTTAGCTTGATTTGGGGGAGGTTGTTGATTTAGGTAACAGTGTGCAATTTTTTTGTTTTATAACAGTGGCGCTACGTTGCTACCTGAAATTGCTACTGCATAAGTCTTCGTTTTGCTCTTATATGCATATTGAATACTTCAGAATGCATTTCGGTTTCAAGATTTGTAAGTTGTTGTACATCTAAACCTGTGTTGGCTCACTGATATATTCTTTTTTTTTTCTTTTCTGTGAGCGGTCTTATGAGTAGTCTTTGACTTGTTTGTTTATTATCAGAAAATGGATATGGGTCCTTGCCCAAAGGTGCACTCGCTGCAGCTGAGGAAAGAGTATCCTTTTTTATAAGAATGGAGAGTCCTTCTGCTGTGAAAGTCTGGAGCCTTGAATGGAACATTATTTCTTTCCCCTACTGTTTTGCTTTAACTTCTCCTTAGATATAAAGAAGCAAAGGCAAAAGGTGTTGACAACTACGATAGGGAATTAGAAGATGCGATAGACAGGCTTATTGTTGAGTGTGATAGAAAGATTGGTAGGGCCCTTAAGCGTCTTCAGGAAGAGGATGCCAAAGCTGCCATTGCGATTTCAGTCACCGAAGTTACTCAGGTGATGGTCTAAGTCGTTGGTGTCTTTTTGCACCTTTTTAACTTAGGCTTTTCCCCATCATTATTATTTGTTTTATTGCAGTCACCTGAAATTCTCGAGCTATCGAAGCAAATCAAAGAGAAGATGAAGGAAGCAGACCTGCATGGTATAATAATTATATCTTTATAAGTTGCTTAATTAACCACTAAATGTTACTTCCAGCTTCCGGTTTTGAAGTCCTTTTTGCTTTTGTGAAAGGCTACTACTTCATTTTTAGTATACTTTTTGGCTATTTTTCTGCAATTTGATGTTTTATGGTGTGATGCTCTTGTAATTCCACATAGATAGTTATAAGTGCTTGTTCATGTGATTGCGAGGTTTTTGTATAGTTAAAAGTTCATTGCAGCTCATACGAATCTGGAACCTTTTGAGCGTGCCCTTGTCGGCAGTATATTTGCGTTGGTATTGCTGAAGACTTCTCTACAATAACTAGAGTAGGCTATCAAATGTCTCTGATGTATGCTTGCTTTCATGAACAAAGGAGTTGATTTGTTTTAATCAGGCTACAAGATGCATATTTACTCAGTTTTAAGAACTAAACCTGCCACTCCCTGTTTAAATATTTAAGCTGCTCTAATTATATGATATATATAGATCTTTCATCTTCTGGAAAATAAAGCCTCACTGTGCTTTTGACTGAAGCTGAATCTGTGGCGTTGCTTGAGATGGGTTTTCACCTTTTAAAAGTGTTTCTTTTATAATTTGTACTATTAGCTTCTGCTAATGATTGTTGTGGTGGTATAAAATCTTTGGATGCTGCTGTAATCTTTAAAAAATGATGATATCATATCGCAGATCTTGAAGGAAAAACGGATCTGAAGATTAGAGCTCTTGAGTTAGTTGAAGAGATGAGGACTAAGAGAGCTGACTTACAGGTCTGTGATTACGTGCTTTGCTATTTTTTTGCATCTGGTAATTTATTAACAGTCAAGTCCTGTGTCTTGTTTTCCTACAGGCTGTGCTGCTGTTGGAGGCCTTCAACAAAGATAGGGCATCCCTGCCACAGCCCATCCCAGCTCAGCCGCCAGCTGCAGCATTACCTCCGCCTGATCCTCGTACTCAAGAGATGATCAATGAGAAATTAAAGAAAGCTGAAGAGTTTGGTAAGGGACTGACCTCTTATTTGTATCTCTTTCGTTATGTGGGATGATTTTGAATCTTTAGTTCTTTAAGTGACCATTGCAGTCGTTCAATATTGCAAGCCTCTGTATTTTTTTTTTTTAATCTTCTTCTGATCATTATTACATTCTAACTTTCTTTGCGAACATGGGAGTTTCTGGTGGCTGATCTAAAAATTTATTTGCCTATCAATTGATCATCATGAATTTACAAAACTGAGCTTAGGAAACATTTGTGATTTACTATGTTGGAAGAAGCTAGTATGTGGTTTTATATACCTGCATAAAGTACGTTTGAACTTTTTCAATGTTGGAAACAGCCACTGTACAGTTACGATATCTATATGTTATTTCAGGCGAACAAGGAATGGTTGATGAGGCGCAGAAAGCACTAGAAGAGGCTGAAGCTCTGAAGAAGGTTTGTTTTCTTTCGTAAATTAGTTTTCTGTTTGCCACTTATCTCCGAGTTACTTCATACTTCATAAAATGTGGAGATATTTATGAAATCTGTTGAAATAGGGGTCTCTCTTTTTATATTATTTTAGGTAAATTGCTTGAATAGTTAGGCATGTTTTTTTTCTCTCCCTACTTGACTTATCGTATAATATCTTTCCCTGTTTTGATAAGTTCCTAAGAGTTGTTGTGTCGTTACATGTTTCAGCTTACGGCTAGGCAAGAACCTGTAGTGGATTCAACCAAGTACACAGCTGCTGATGTGCGCATTGTAAGTGAAAATCACCATTTTCATTACCTTATTGAAAATTCACTCCTCATAGAGGTCCTCAGATTCATGATTCATAGTTCTTTCATTTCATATATTTTGTTTAGTCTGATGATCGTTAGAATGTTTAAGGGAGATAGTCGTGCTTCTAGTATCCAGAAAGATATAGTGGATTTGAATTTTGAATGGAAAATTCAAAACATTTTTTGTTCACAGTTGCTTTTGAACGGAAGTATACCATGTTCTCATCCCTGCTCGATGTACTATGTCTATATCTTTTGGCAGTTTGTTAATTGCTAACCCTCACTCTCTATTCTTTTGTTGTCTCAGACAGACCAGAAGCTGCGTCTATGTGACATATGCGGAGCATTTTTGAGCGTCTATGACAGGTTAGGTTTGGTTACTTAAAAAAACTTTGTGGTTAATAGTTCCGAGGTCTTTCAAAAGAAAGCTAGTAATAGATTTTCTGGGTTGCAAGTGGTTCTTTATTTGACACCGGCTATTGTACCTCCTTTTCACACAGCAGGCTATTTGGGCCCAGTTTTACGAGGATTACTTTTGCAGCTAATAAATGTGCGTTCTTTCTTGATTTATTGTGCCTGTTAGAGATAAATAATGGAGTTTTAAACTATATCTATGTTACCAATCTGTGATTTGCATTTGGCAATGTCAAAAATCTTTTGTACTGCCTTTAGTGATCGTCGGTTAGCTGATCATTTTGGAGGGAAGCTTCATTTGGGTTACATGCTGATCCGCGACAAATTAGCAGAGCTGCAGGTAATTATAAACTATATAATTCTCTATTGTGATTTTCGTGTTTTTTCTCAATGTAGACTGTAATTTTATTCTCTCTGTTTTCTTCAGGAGGAAAAGAACAAAGTTCACAAGGAACGGGTCGAAGAAAGGAGGTTTACTTTCTTAAGCTATTCAACACATTCTTGATTTTGCTTCCTTAAATCCTCAACATTTTTTCTGGAAAACTACCAATCTCAGATCAAAGGAGAGGAGCAGAGAGCGAGAATCAAGTAAAGACAGAGACAGAGGAGATAGCCGTGACCGTGGAAGAGATCTTGACCGTAGGAGTAGGGATCGTGACAGGCACCATGACCACCGTGAACATGACAGAAACTATAATCAGTCACGTGGGTATGATTCAAGAAGCCGGCGCAGTTCACGGTCCCGGTCTAGGGAAAGACCGAGGGATTATGATCGCCGCAGGTAACTATGATCAAGAAAACAGACATCTTATTATTTACTGTAAATCTTTTGGTTGCATTTAAACTAAATGTTTTAACTCCGTCGCAGACGCCATGACCGCTACTAAGACGCCAGCTGCCAGAGACGGTTGCAGCAAGTTTAAGAGGTTTTCACAGATGCGTTTAGGATCAATCTGGAGTTGCAAAACACTCATTTGTTTTTCTTATGTGTTCTAAGATTTTTGAGATTGTAAGTTGCTAAGTTTGTAAGAAGAGCTTCTTCGGATGTTTTTTATTCTCCTGGTTTATCTTTTGTTATAAATGTTGACTTCAAAGACTCGTGAGTAAAAAGATTGTGATGATTACATAGCTCTTTCACTTGTGAGATGTGTATGACTCATCATGAATTTGGTCATTTAAAAAAAAAAATACATTGATTGAGTTGAGAAGTATAGTTGGGCAAGTGGGTTCTACTTCAAAAAAAAGGCAAGAAAAATAAATGTTAAGTCTTGAATAGAAGAATCATGTTTTCATTTTTTATTAGTGAACTCTGAATATTACTACGATTTCATCAATTTTATTTTATTATTACTGGAACCAAAAAAGTAACATTTCCAATATAGTCAGATTCGTATAAGTTGACTGTTTGGACTTTACTTTAAAAAACCTAGTATAACTTCATTAACTTGTTGCAATTATTGTAAAAACAAAACAAAAAGCTCATGGCAATACTTTTAGATCCTAGTCCTATAGTAATAATAGTTAATGAAAAAACGAATGGTTGATATAAAATTGTAAAGACCCCAATGACAAAATTGATGGAACTGTCCAACACAAGTCGCTTAGAATCTACGAGCGATTTAATTAAAAATTCTCTGATATTAAAGTTAGAATATAAAACTCTTATAATTATACAAAAAAATAGCATGGGCCGTTCATATGTACTTCTCTCAGTTTTCTGCGTAGAACTTACTAATATACTTAAATTCCGTTAAAGTAAATATAATATGTTTTTATGAATTTTAGAATTTCTTGACATTTAAACAATCCAAGATACAATATTGAAAAACAGACCGGGTAAAACTCAAATTAATCATAGAATTCATATTTTTTCATTTTTAAAAATCTTAGATTACTATATTGAAATTCAATGTCGATTTGATAATCAACATATTTGTACATTTTTATATGATGTAAGTACGCGTATGTATAGTTTAAACCAGCCGAACAACCTAGATATCACGCAAACGTACACAAACTATATGTCTATATAATTACTTTCGTTTATCTATTAATTATGTATAATAAAGATGGCATAAAATTCTATATAGAAAAAGGGAAGGTCAAAGATCATTGGTAACTCAACATCACACTGTAGCACAAAGCATCTAAAGTTTTAGCATTGTTCAATGAGTTTATTCAAACAATAAACAACCGATCATCATTAATTTTAGTTTTGATAAAAGCATCTTATAATAGTATTTATATGTTTAATGATTTCTGAGTTGAGGGAATCATATTAGGCAATTATTGGATAGTAATTGGGCGACAAAGCCATAATCTTTGAATCGAAACCAAAGCAAAGGCCAATAAAAAAGGAGATTAGTTTAATAAGAATATAAGGGCTTTTAGGACATCATTTCTCACTACAGATAGTATGAAAAAACTAAAACTTAAAGTTCGAATTGAATTCAAGTTCAAACATATATAGCTATTTAACTCTAGTTAGATTACGTACCGCTGTTTCAGTTTTATTAAATTCAAGTTCGAATTGAAAAGTTTTATTAAATTCAAGTTCGAGTTGAAGAGACTACGGTTCAGGAGATGATTCATTTCTCGTAAAAGTTTTCATTAGTTTTTCCTTCTTACTTTCTGTTACTACCTTTTCTTCTACAACATTCTCGTGGAAGATGGTTACATTTCTTAAAAACAAATAGACCACTAAAAAAGCCTAGATATATATTCATGGAATCTTGAATGCATGTCACGTAACTCTCTTCTCCTTCTCTATTAAGAAAGCCTCTTTCTTCTTCTCTCCCTATATATATACACATCATACACACATATATATATACATGCATGTAAAATATATATATATTATACACATTTGATCATATATTAATACACAGTTTGTTTTCTGGGAAAGAGAGGAGAATGGGTGCATTTGATTATATCTCTAGCTTTTGTTCATATACATATTCTAATGCCAAAACCAAGCGTAAACCATTGCAGGTTTGTTCTTCCATTGATATATTTACAACTCTGATTTTTCATTCTGTATATCAAATAAGACTCTATTATCTACACACACACACACAAACATATATATATATATATACGATTTGATTTGGCTAAATTCAAAACTATGTGCTAATATGTCATCTATGTATGCATAAAATTCAGATGTTAGATAAGTTTTAAAACGTGAACATTTTTTTTTATCCGTAGCTTATTTCTTAAACATGTTTCTTCAAAACTTCATCAACTTTTTTCGTTGTGTATATGTATATCGGTACATATCATAGATTACACATGATGAATTAACATAATAAATAATATTAAACTAAAAACTATATATCATGAACGTAAGTGAACGGCTAAAACATTATAACATTTTACATTAAAGCATCTTTTAGTGATATTAAATTAATGGTGATTTAGTTATCACGTAGAAGCTATAATCCGATTACTACTGAATTACATCACAGCAACCAGCTTCATAAAGTAATTTGGATTTCTATAAGAGATTTTTGGGTTCAATTTTATTTGTATGATATGTATATTTCAATAATGGTTTTTGTGTAGACAGTGGACATCAAGGTAAAAATGGACTGTGATGGTTGTGAAAGAAGAGTTAGAAACGTGGTTCGTCGCATGAAAGGTTCTCCTTCTCATCTCTCTCTTGGACTTTGAATCAAAACTTTTGCCAATCTCTCTTTTTTCCCTTTTTGTTTTCATTTTCTTTATTCCCTCTGTTTTAATATCTCTTTCAAAGATTCTTATTCCTCTCTTAAAATTACAATTGCATAGCTGGCCCAAATATATAACAATTTTTAAGATACTAATCATTTGCTCAACCTCTTGCTTGAGAAAGACTATAAGAACTTTTAGTCTGAAAAGATTATGGTTAAAAGTCCAGCGTATAAAAGAGTTACAGCGAAAAAATTGTATTTACTAAGTTATACTTTGTTCATATCATCAAGTTAAAAGTTTTTACTAATTTTTGTAAGTTATTTTAAATAATAATAATAATAATAGATTTGAGAATTTTAAGATATTCATCAAACTCTAGTAAATAATTTGCTACGCAAATATTTTACTAATTTGAGTAAAGTATTCAAATAAAATATTATGAATATATCTTTTGTTTTTATTGAAATTATGATATTGTCGGATGCTGTATCTAGTTACTTTAGTAGTAAAATTGTAAGCGTTTAATTTTAAAAAAAAATATTTATACATTAACTTTTCAAAACATTAGTAATTCGTTTTGTCTATTGCATGCACACCACTTCATATTAATATAATGACGAATTTTCGTCTATAACACAGATTTATTAATTCCCCAAAAGACGATCTATATTGAGCATATAAATGGTCATATCAGGAATCGCATTCTTGAAAAGTTTGGTCCTCTTTGTGATAATACTTTCTTTAACAACGTTAACATTCAAAAGGCATTCCATATATCGCAATGTTTCTGTAAAAATTTAAATTATGTTTTATAAGATTTAGGCAACTTTTTAAATTCATCTTAGCTTTTGTTAAAAATACAAATCTTTTAGATAATCGTTAACTTATTATGTTTACATGTTCGGAACCGACCGGTACAGGAGTAAAATCGGTAGAAGTGAACCGAAAACAGAGCCGGATAACGGTGAACGGACACGTGGACCCAAACAAGGTGTTGAAGAGAGTGAAGAGCACAGGGAAAAAGGCAGAGTTCTGGCCTTACATACCTCAGCATATGGTCTATTACCCTTTTGCCCCTGGAATGTACGACAAACGCGCCCCCGCAGGCCACATCCGCAATCCCACACAAGCGTTTCCAGCCGCAAACGCACCTGGCGAAAACTACGTTTCCCTCTTCAGCGACGACAACGTCCACGCCGCTTGTTCCATCATGTGAATTCTGAGAAGAAGACTGATTATAATGTCTATTTTTCCTCTTTCTGTTTTGTATACATATCTATTTTGGCTACTTACTATTCTCATAATACAAAAACAGTGATGTAGAAACTATGTAATAACTTATAGAGACAATTTTCCAACAGAATCAAACTAAGACGATACAAAAATAAATTCTGGCTTTTTCCCCTTCGGAATGTAGATATTGTATTTTATGACATGTTGATCGTTTGTTGATGAATATTTATGGACTACTATGTACGTTTACATTTGTGGTTTAGAACGTTATAACATGGTAACGCAAACGTAAACTACAAAAACAGTTGTGGCCTTGGTATTTAGAATATGTATCTATAGTTTAACACTTTTCACTTCTACAAAAAAGATGCAAGTCGATTAAAAAATACTGTTTCAACATTATCAAATGTATGGCTTTTATCCTTTAACCAAAAAAATTTGCGCTGGTCCTCGAGACATGTACAAATTGAAAACTTGGAAGAATCAAACTTTAAACCTCCAACAATTCAAAGAACTGAGAAACTATGTTGTGCCTAGATTTTGAGACGGATAATACATGATGAGGTTACTGGTTACATGGTTTAGCATTGATGATTATATTCAAACAATAATTTTTCAAATTTAGTTGAGTGATGTTCGAAGAGGTCAAATCATTAACCATAAGCTAAGTGGAATCTTAAGAGTGAAAATAGGTATATAATGGACCAATTAAGCAGCCAATGATGCTGAATTTGTCTAATTTCTATAGGACATGAATGATACTTCGACGATAATATCAATTAATATATATATATATATATATATATATATATATAAGAATATTAGGAAGAGACCCAAAAATCAGCATCTTGTGATTTGTTAAGCAAATTGCTTCCTTTTTAATATTTTGTTTAGAAGCTTCAAAGGGCAAGAGAGTGTCACATTACAAGTTCCAACTTTTAGCACCGAAATAAAAAAAGGAAACTTTTGAAGATCAAAGTGCAAAGAGATGTATTCTTCCTCAGAAAAATGTCCAAGAGGGACCAAAGCATCTTTAGCTTTTCGTTCAAAGCTTCTTTCTTTAGAAGAAGGAATATAAAGTGCAGAATCACTCCAAAGGAAAGCTGTTTAATCACGGTACCGATTATTCACAGAATTGGCATCAGGATGAAACAGTCAAAAGACTCTTCAACCGTAATTGTGAAAGCTGTTTGGTGTTGTTGTCTAAGCATATTTTAAAAACCTACAAAGATCAATTCTGAATCAACACAGCAGCAAGAAATTACAGAAAATGGATAGTACTTGAATCACTAAGAATCGATCTTTGAAAGAATGAGTGGAGTTACCAGTTAATCAATCTAACTCCTTGAACAAGCAGGGAGCTTTTACCGCTTCTGAGCTTTCCTTCTTCTGGACTGTGTCTTCTGCCATTTCTTCCTAGGCACTAGTTTACTCTTGGGCTTCAACTTTATCTCAGGTGTGAATTTGAAGTTCGGATCTCTCATGCGAGTTTGTATGTCCTTGAAAAACTGCATGTTCAATCTCTTGGGTCCACCTTTTCGTAGCTCTTCATATTCAGGTCCTGAGATAATGTTTTCAAACGCTCCAATCAGAATGTCAACATCACTCATTACTTCCCACACGTTTGTGTAACGACCGTCAGGCCCTTTGTTCAGTTTCTTCAGCGCGTTCTCAACAGCGAGCTTCCTCGCCTCTTTACCTGGTGAAAGCTCCTCAGGTTCGTTTTCAGATTTCAACAGCTCTGAGATTGTCCTGTACTTTGGTTTCTCTTCAAACTCAAACAACTTATCCAAGTATTTATCAGATGCTTCGTTCGGGTGTGGATCTGTTGGAATATCGTCGTCATCATCACCTTCATCGCCAGTCCACAACGTTTTCTCTTCATCACTTCCAGACCAAACACTGTATAATTCATCACTATCATCTGCATCAATTAGATCAGAGCTGTCTTTAGCTTGTTGTCTAGCTTTCTTAACCTCTCTTTCAAGTCGGTTTCTTCCACTTTCTTGTTTTGTATTATCATTGCTCTCGTCTTCACTTGCAGACCATAGAGTGTCATCGTCCTCCATTTCTTTCTCCCAGGCTTTTCTAAAGCCATCGTCACCTGGTTTCACATTACCAAATAGATTGTAGTCTTTACTTTTTCCATTTGCATATGATCGCGTTGCTGCAAGACATAGAAACAAGCTGAAATGTAACTAAAGCCACATATATAGATAGAGCCGTGAACATCATTAATATTAACATCAATGAAGGAAATATCAACTAATGCCAGACTTCTTGACTAATGTGTGCGTGTATCTAAAATTAATCTCAAAGGAAATTTGTTTGTAGTTCCAAACTAAACAACAATTCGGATTAGAAAAATAGTGTTGTTTGTAGCTCATCTTTATCATCCTCCAACCAAATATATTTTGAATTTAAAAGACTCGTGAACAAATAATTTCTCTGCGGCATTTTCACAAACACCTCGTCTGCTACTAAATCTGAAGACCCTATAACGAACGGACACGGAGAGAGCATCGAAAGTAAGGCTTTGGGGAAAAAAAGAAACCTTGCAAGTTCTGGCGAAGCCCAGAAATTAGCCAGTTTTGAGCAGAAGTTGCCGGACACGAAATCAAGCGACTTTGTGATCTATACAAGTAAACAGAGGAAAATACGTCAGCTTCGGATATTATTTTTGGGTTTAATTGAACGAGCTTGTTGGTGCTGCGATAAACTGATCCATCAAAGACCAACCTTTTGGCTACGATAGAGAATAGCCAAGAGAGTCTTCGCTGGAACATCTTATTAATTCTCTCCTTTAACAGCTTTTTTTGTTCCGCTCCTTAACAGCTTTTATCGACGGTTATGACTTATGAGGCTAAACTATTATGGACTAGTAATATTTGTTGGGAAAAAAAAATACTACTAAATTATTATTAAATTTTGTAAAAGAAAAAAAAAATAAAGACTCTCATATCCAATTAATGAAATTATACGAAGAGTTTACCAGGAAAAAAAACTGTTCGTTTATATATTGATCTGGATTTGTTTACTGATTGGATTTAAGAATAAGGGTTTAGTGATATAGCCACAATTCTCCGGATTATAAATTCATAACAGTGTCTTATGTTGGTTCCAATATCATGTTTTATTTTTATTTTTGGTTCAAACGGTTCCAATATAAAATTTATTAGCTGACAAGTAGTATACATTACCAACAAAAAAAAAGGGGAAAAAAAAAACAATACATACATCAAGTAAATCAAACGAGTATTTCAACTCGTATCGATTCTCACATAACATAAAATTTATTTGCTTTACAGATAAGAAGAAACTAATCAGGACTTAGGATTCGGGATTTATATAATTGAAAATAAAAAAAGTGAAAACATACAAACTTAATCACGAAACATAGTTGGATAATAACGACGACAAAGTCAAATGGGAATAGCTCTCGAGACTTTAGGATAAACGACGCTAGACGGATGACGCATAATACGGCGACCCTTTGCGTGTTTAAAGATATAAACCACCGCACCAACCGGCCACTCGATGACTCCGGTCACTAGAAAAGCCACGAACCCTAACGTCGGTCCCACAAATTTGCACCGACACGGGTTTTGTCTCGTCCCGCACTGAACACACGCCGGAAACACCATCGTTTTTCTCTTTTTCTGATGAGTAACTTTTTGATGAGTATGCACCATCTATCGACGCTAAAGCTGATTTATATATTTGTTTGGAAAAATCAGATTCAAAGAGAGATTAGTGGAGATTGTGATCTGTTGAAAGAGTAACAAGAGGCGTGTTTTTATAGAGACGGATACTTTGAGTTTTGAGTTTTGTTATAATCTTTCTATTTTATTCTTCTTCTTTCCACGTAGTGTCGGTTTTGCTACTATTTTAGATTATATTAGATATTTTATGGCTTTTTAGGTCGGCTGGCTTGTTATTGTATTGTATGTATATTTTCTTGAGTTCGTGACAGATTTAAAGACGTGTCGAGAAGATAAACACAACCAGCACACAGGTGGCTAAAAACTTGTGGCTTAGGATTATCGGCAGTGAGTTGTGAAACTCTCATTCGGCTCGAAGTGATTCTTTACTTAAAACAAATTTGCTTATTTGGCCCATTAACAAACAAAAATAAATATTCATGTTGTAATTTAATACTCATGTTGTAATCAGTAATCAGTATGAAAAGGTGAAGGACTACCGTTCGATAGCATGTTGTAATCAATTAATAATCATATTGAGATATATGGTTTCTGTTCTCTTAATTAATTTTTTTTGACATATTATATATTCTCCTCGACGAAACATCGTCTCATCATCTTCCCTAGCTAAAAAAGGGACGAGCAATGCCACTCGAAAATAACATTTCTTCTCTCAAGAACTTCACATATATAAACACATATTTTTCTTGATTTTTTTTTGAACTATGTGTATCATGTAGATATAAAAAAAAAAAATCTGAATAGACAACATATAATCTGATCAGTTAATCCTAGTACGGTAAAATCCTCTAGCTACTTGTGAAAGACCTAGTCACATCCTAATTTTGCTAAATTTAGTCTTAACTCGGACCATTTACCTTCATTTGTTGTTTAGTTATTCCTTCAAAAGTTCCTAATTAAAAGCACATCCTTAACTTGCCTTTTGTTATTCAAATATTTATATATAATTTGATAACCTTTTATTAGTCGACCAAAAAGGAAGTTCAAAGAAGAAATCTGCACATTTTAAAGACACGAACATATTCATTAACACAATATGGCTGATGCAACGGAGAAAGCCGAGCACGATCGTATTTTCAAGAGATTTGATGCAAACGGCGATGGTAAAATCTCAGCAGCCGAACTCGAAGAAGCTCTTAAGACACTTGGCTCGGTGACGCACGATGATGTCAATCGTATGATGGCTGAAATTGATACTGATGGTGATGGAAACATATCGTATCAAGAATTCACCGATTTTGCAGGTGCCAATCGTGGACTTATGAAGGATGTTGCCAAGATTTTCTAAAAATGTAATTGTCATCATCATCTTATATTCTAAGCATCCTTAATTTTTTTGTTTGTTACAGTTACTTAATTTTCTGTAATGAGAAGCATCGGTGAATTTTATTACATATACAAAATTCAATGTGATGGGTGGTTTTGGATCATTTTCTTAATGATTTTTGTTCGTTTCATTGGAAAAAATTATCTTAAAAAATTATCTTCCTTTTTTTTTTCACCTTCCACTCAAATTCTTTTAACCCCAATATCATTTCCCATATATCAATCTATGGAAGAAATTTCGATGGATATATTCATTAATCTGTGGGTGTCAATTCGTATCTTTGTAATTGCATCAGACGATAAGCATGTGGAGGTGGGTATAGGTAGCTGATTTCATCAAACTTTTCTGCTTCTTATCTGCATTGGCCATTGGTTTTTTGTTTGCTTGGAGTATACTCTATCTCTAATTTTTTATGTTCTAAAGTGTTTTTCACCTCAGCTCTATTTTCCTTTTTGAAGGAATTATCTTTTTTTTTTTTCGCCACACTACCATAATATCATTGGATACTTTTTTCTTTATTCCTTCTTTCTTACTATACATCATTAATAGCTTTGTTAATGTGTTGGCTGGTGCTTCGGAAAATTTCGAGTATTTTAAATATTTCACAAGAAGAAATCGTGCTAGATAGCAGAAGATCAAATTACAAGATAAGTCAGAACAAGAATCTTTCTCTCTCAAACTAGAGGTATCAAAGCCCTTTTGGGTCGATTGGTTAACCACTCTGCCCATACCTCTCTTAGACCATGACAAGCTGATAGAGATGCATCAAACGGATCAAACAAATGGTTAGGTTCAGAGGTAGACTAGTTTGAAATATCACCAGCAGAAGTAAATTAACAACAGTTTTGTCTAACTTTAACTAGTATACATCTTTACGATACTCCATATCAGTAGCATTACCAGCGGAGTAGGAATCTTTATGATAGTTCTCATAATTCAGTTGTGGTTTTGTTTTTACATGCTAGCTGCTGAATCTTCCTTAGCTCACAAGTCATTTTCAACTATAGTCTAAACTCTGAGATCATCTCTCTTCATTAACGGAATACACCAAGAAACGCATTTTTTCGATCGTGGAAGTGCTTGAGAACGAGACTCTACAAGGACGGGAACACTCAGTAGGTGCGTTACTGACATTGTATCAAAGCGACAACAGTAACTACTACAGATAACTAGAGCTCACGGTTCAAGAATCACCGAAATCTCGAACATTAGCTAAAGGACTTCTCTGTTTGGTTTGATTCCTATTCTAATATGTTTGCTAAGAGACTCAGAGAGTCCAAGATCCATAACGTCGAAATTTGAGTTGTAACCGATACTAAACGGAACAAAGTCATCATAACACATTGTCCGATGAGAAGTTACCAATGTTGTACATCACAGGAAAGGAAGAAACGTTATGGATCCCATCACAAAATTATTAAAGGATTAAAACCTGAAACTTCTTGATTACTCTTTTTAGGTAAATGATGGAGACCTTAGATTATGACTCATGACTAACAAAATTCGAGTAATATGTAAGAATATGTAAATTGTATTCTTAGTCTCAAACAATTTTTTTTTTTTTTTTTTTTGTATAAATGAGTTATCAACTGAAAATCGGAATTTTTGTTTAGTTTTGTTTTACACATTCCTAAGCAAAACGGTTACACCCATTTAATCAAAAGCTGACAAGCTAGACCTCAAAACCGAAAAGTAGAGTTTGGACTCCGGTTTTTCAGTAAAGACTCAAGAGAGGTTACCTTCATTACTTATATCTATCATCATCATCTCCCTAACGTTAGCCTCTATTTAATAATCGAGTCGGTCCAAAATCCTTTACATGCGTTTTTCTTTATTTTTACATCTTTTTAGGGCAAATCTATATACAATGTCAAACTTCTTCACTTTATTGAAAAAACTATGAAAAACAAGCTCGTGCTTACATACACACATTTTCCTCGTTCTCGAATCTCGACGACAATCAATGGTAAAAAAAGTACGGAAAATTCGGGCGAAATTGTCATAAAACGAAACTAGTGGGGTAAGTTACAGTAAAACAAAAACAAAAAGGTTATCGTTTTGCAATTTTATTGTTTTTTTTAATATCTATTAAAAAAAAAAAGTTCCCTAAGTTTTATAACTCCTCCTTCTGACGACGTATGACGTAATCCTCTACCGCCGCCACTCCGCCGCGACGGCGCTGAGTTTCCACGCCGATGCAGCGATTAGCGGTTTCGTCTGCCACGCAAGCATCAGGCTTCCTTCGTTCTCCTCCACTCTGTATCCATCTCCTCCGGCGAATAGCGCCAAGAGCAAACTCGCCTGCTTAAACGCGTCTGATCCGAGATTAACCGGGTTAAACCCGGCGGATCCCATCCGTTTTCGCCACTGAGCCAGCGTCTCGTGCCGCTCGACCCGCTCGACTCCTTCCGCAGCCACCACGTTGAGGATCTGTCTCCCTAAGTAAACCTCCGACATGACTCGGTCTTGACTCGGTAGTATAAGCCCGTCCTCGAGCGAGTCGAACAGGCTCGAGTAATAGTGAAGCGCCTCGTTAAACCGTTCCAAGAAAACGACGCCGTTGTGGTTCGCTTCTTGTTCCACCACCGTTACGATGCTCGGTTTAACCGCCTTAACCGTAGCCAACAGCTTTTCGATCGAACCGGGTCGGGCCAAAAGCGGGTGGAGCTCGAAAACCGAATTAACCACTAGTCTCTCCGACTCGGGTCGGGTCTCGAACATATCCGGCTCCAGATCGGATAACCTCTCGGCGGTTAGACCATTGAATTCGAATTCGACGCCGATGGCTTGAGCGAGCTGAGATAGCTTCCAACCTAACTGTTCAATCCCGTCTCTATTCGACGGACTTCCAACGCCGGTGAGACGAAACGACGGAGGTCCGCCGGGTCGGAGAGCTAGAGCTTGCATTAACGCCGGCCACTGCATCCCTTGATTGAGCCCTAGATCGATGACGTGAATGCCACGAGCCGTCGCGACGGCTTCTAGAATCGCCTGATTCGCCGTGAAATGTGCGAATTTCAGGTAAGGGCAAGACTCGTAGAAGTGCATCTGCAGGATCTCGTCGAAGGAAAGGTCAATCGCGGCGGAGGAAGGGTGAATCCGGTAGATCCTACGAGCCAGGGCTTCGGCGAAGTAGGTAGCGACTTTCCCCATTGCTCCCGCCTGAGAAGCCGCGAGTGAGCCCACGCGCTTCACGAGAGCATCCGCGAGGCTCAGATTCTCCTGCTGGACGGCTTCGGCGCACGCAACGAGCGCCTGGACGAGTCTGACTCCGGTCTCCTGCGAGTCAACGGCGAGGACCACCACGGGTTGAGTCGACTCGCTGCTCGCCGAGTCACACCAAGGACCGAGTCGAATCCTCTTGCTGGTTATGCTGGTGGTGGTGC